TCTCTGAGTATATACTTCTCTGCTCTCGTCGCAGAAGTTTTAAATAGGTTTTAAGGCACGCAATCGCAAGCAGTTGCAAGTGTCTGAACCAGCCTTCGTTGCTTTCCTTTTCCCTTTGTCGCCAAATGCTTACTAAAACACACACACACACACACACACACACACACGCACGCACACACACACACACACGCACACACACACACACGCACACACGCACACACGCACACACACACACACACACACACACGCACGCACGCACGCACGCATATATATATATATATATATATATATATATATATATATATATATATATATATATATATATATATATATATATATAATTATTTATTTATATATACACACGAAAGAAAAAAACTGTTTAAACGTATTGCCGGAAACCGGCCTTGCGGAGCACCATTAACATTCTTGAAAGCTCGTTCTCAGACAAAAAAAAAAAGAGAGATGCTCCCACGTGTCTTTGCTGTCCAGTGTAGCACATTCTGAAGTCCCATGTTCACATGAGCGATGTGTACGTCTCCGTTCCTTCGCTCTTCAAAGTGATAAGACAGCGCTGACTGATTAGCGAAACAACTTTATCTCGGCTTGCCTTCGTTATTGTCCTTTGCCCATTTCTATCACATAGTGATTGACATATGAGACTAGAAATGTATGCACTCCTATATTTCGGGTAGTATCGGAGTAGCGGTAGGAATGTTGGTGCCAGAGGCTCTATCGACATGTTGAAGGTAGCCGACAGTGGCCAGCCACAGCGAACGTGTTTGATGTTAGAACGGTCTTCGCAAGCGCGTCTTGTCAGCTATTCCGGGGTTTACTACACACTAGAAAGACTGAATAAGCTGTGAGGCTTTTACAAAGGAGCTGTTAAGAGCCAGTTTCCCCAGAATCGTGTTCCCTGAAAAAGAAATGAAGACACCGAACTCTGGACGCCTACCGCCATCTATGAGCGACGACGGCAAGCCATGTATATGGTTGCCGCCGTCGCTCATAGATGGCGGCAGCCTTTCCACTCTGGCTTGTCGACTTGCGGCCGGTCGTTACTTTCCAGCGTACAGCTCCGCTGGTCTTTTTTCTTGACCAAAAAAAAAAAAAAAAACGGAAAGTAAAAAAAAAAAAAAAAAACTCCCTGAAGCGTTTTTTTTTTTAATCTTTCTGAATTAAACATATTTAGAATGAGAAGACCGATTCTCTGAAAAGTTTATTTCATTTAAATGAAAACTAGGAAATGAAGTGTTAACTGAAAAACAGCAAGGTTATTCGATTCTAGGATTCAAGAAAAAATAATCAGTACCGCTGAAAATAAACCTTTTGGGTGCCAAAATGTCTTTTTTAAGAAGTAAAATTTGTATTTTCTCCTTTTATTTAAAGAAGGTTGAAAGAAATCGCTTAATTTGTTCGAATTTTACATGTCCTTAAAATTTCTTCATAGAAAATGAATGAAGGCTGAGAAAATGTTAAAACGAAATCGAAAAAAAAAACAAAAACACAAAAGAGATCCTAAATTTTAGTTAAGGAATTTTCTCCAGAAGCAAACACAAGACGACACGAGAGCAGCTTTCAGCAACGCTCCAAGTTCGAAGCGCTCTACTTACATGCACAGTGAGTTGCGTGCAAGTGTTGTTCACACTGAAATGGTGTCGTTGCACTTCGGGGTCCTGCATGTTCAGTTCTGGAAAAAGGAAAGAGAGAAACAACAGCAAATAATCATTTTGCTGAAATATTTCTTTTGTTCTTTCCGTAAAAGATATAACGTAGAAAACAACAACCCCCCCAAACTGCATTGCACATACAAAACAAAACAACAACAACCACAACTGAGACTAGATTAGGTGTGCACTGCAAGCTGCATAATCTAAAAACAAAAAGAAAACACTGTTGTAACGATAATTTCTGGAGAAAGGGAACAAAGGACAAACACAAATCTCCAAACACTGCTAGGTGACTGGTGCATGACTGAAAAAATCCGACTGGTCCTGGTGTCGAACCAGGGACTTCTCCATTTCCAGTGGAGAGCTCTACCAGCTGAACAACGAAGAGTTAGACGTTAGTAGAGCAAGCGGGTTTTAACAGCTGTGACCAGTCTAACACAGACAAGGGTGAACGGCCTGCAGTTTAAGGTTATGATGATAATGCAATTATTAGAAAGGTACAAGCGAGCTGGACAATAATAACGCTAATAATCCCCGAAGGTCAAACACAAATCTCCACACACAGTTAGGTGACTGGTGCACGACTGAAAATATCCGTGTGGGCATGGACGGATTGATTGCCCAATTGAGTGAAAACGGAGACGACAAAAATGGCTGTCGTGGTACACGAAAAGTTGAACCGGAGAGATGAACTTCTATTTCTGAACAACGACGGCCACAGAAATTGCTGACGTTTGAAGAGCTCGTCGACAGAAGACCGTCGCAAATGCTTCGCCCCCTGCAACAACTGCTCGGAGACTTGCCGACCACGTTTTGATCCTTCGCTTTTCGAGGAGTTATTCCTACAGCGGTTGCCAGCAAACGTGAGGATAGTGCACACAACAACAGCGAAGATTGCTATTGGCGCCTTAGCTCAGCTTGCGGACAGGGTCGTTGAAGTTGCCTCTCCAACCATCTCTACGGTTGCTCCAAAGTCTCACAAGTCAGAAACAAAATCCTTAACATCTGAGACCATTCGGTCTAAAAAACGTCGCCCAAATTTTTCCGAGATTTATTGACACTGACCTCAGGGGCTTATCTTTCTGCTTCACATACGTTGATGATTTACTACTTTTCAGCCGTGACGAGACCGAACACACTTAACATCTGCCTCAACTTTTCCAGCGACTCGCCAACTACAGCGTCAACATCAACCGAGGAAAATGCGAACAGGGAGCAGCACGTCTAGAATTCCTGGGACACGAAGTTAACCAGCACGGCATACCACGGTGGAAGTTATCAATAATTTTCCCATACCCAAAACCATTCGTTCACCTGCGCAAAGTCCTCGGACTTGTAAATTTCTACAGAAGATTTTTTTCCCTATGCGCTGCAATTCTATCACCCCTGACAGCCCTCCCTTCCGATGGGAAGCAGGCCACTTTCAACCCCTGTGCAGCGGAGATCGACTACGAAGCAAGCTTTCAGCCGAACAAAATGTGAACTTTCACACCCTCAACACGACACGATAACGAACAGCATGGTCGACACTTCTGAAGCCGTTGTAGGCGCGGTATTGCAGAAATCGATAGATGATGTCTGGAAACATATTTGGTTCTTTTCAAGACAACTAACACTGGTGGAACAACGTAACAGCACCTTCGAGCGTGAGCTGCTGGCGATCTACACAGTGTGAGTACTTGCGGGCATGAACGGACTGCTCACCCAATAGAGTGAAAACAAAGACGAAAACAAGACCATTCACGAGCGCGGCGGCAGAGCCCGCTCAACGATTCCAACACTCAGTCTACATTGCGGATCCTGTAGAACTTTGTGAATAATGTACATATGTAGTGGCAAGTTGTTGGTTCCTACAGTATAGAGCACTCCATTGGAAATGAGGAGGCCCCTGGTTTTGTATTAGGACCAGGCGGATTTTTTTTCAGTCGTGCATTGGTCACCAATAGCTGTGTTTGGAGATTCGTATTTGTCCTTCGTCCCCCTTGTTCCCTCCTCCAGGGATTATTATCGCGATTCTTGTCCAGCTCGCTTGCACCTTTGCATTAATTGCATTATCACGTAAAGTTGTCTCGATCGTTCTGATGAACCCCGGAAGCACAGAATGCGTCGTGCGTTCATTATGAGGGGGTTATGATTTGTTATGCTTGCTTACAAAGACCTTTGGGCGGTTTCGGATGCGTTGCACACAGGACACACTTCTGCGTTGTCTTGGTTTTATCAGATAATCAAGAGAACTTTAAAATTATACCCGACACAAGCGTGCTTTCATAAAGTTTTCCATGGATTCTGCCTTTTGTGTGTGTGTGTGGCCCCGTGTAGGGCCTTGATTTCTTAGTGTTCTTGCATTGCAAATCAATTCTTTGTGCTTGCTCAACTCATCGCTCGGGTCAGAGGTTTTTCGCGCTCTTTACACCATCTATTGACTGCTGTCTCTAGTCTTGACGTCATATACGCTCTCCGCGCTGTCCCTTGGAACGTTGTGAGAGACCTCGTGACGTCATGAATCCTCGCGGGGAGCTACGTGTCGTCATTCGGGGGCCAGCTGCGCGCTGAGACGGTCCCATGTGGACTACTGTGCCACCGAATGTCGTCTGCGGACTGCGTATGCTGGCCTAAGTATGACTCACAGTCATCGCCGACGATCGCCTACGTACCAAGTATGCTGGGCGGCTATGTACCACCACCGCGGACAGTCGCGTGCTACCACAGGCGATCGCCGGAACAAGTCATGGAACTTAGTCCATGACTACTCGAGCTTTCATTCAGCTCCTTCCTGTGGTGCCGAGCAAAGACATCGGACTGCCATCTTGCAAGGTTCGGGGTTCGGTTCCCACTGAGTGGAATGTTAAATCTCTTTTCTTATACCTGCGTGTAACGTTTTTTCGTAAGTCTCGTGTGTGACGGTTTTTGCATAAAATCCCGATCATCAACATATTCTGTGCTAAAAAAACAAAAACAAAAACCCGTAAAGATTTACTTAGATGCACACATAGTGTTTCGATTGTTTTGCTTTTGTACCTGTGCGTATGTGTGTGTGTGTGTGTGTGTGTGTGTGTGTGTGTGCGCGCGTGTGCGTGTGTGTGTGTGTGTGTGTGTGCGCGCGCCTGTGTGTGCGTGTGCGTGTGTGTGTGTGTTTCTTCTGGTCTCTCGAGGTTATAATGGGGTCCTGGGTGCTCACCGCAGCGGTAGCCGCCTTCGCAGCGATCCAAGGAGGGATCCGTGTTGTGATCCAAACGAAGTGCCCAAGGGGGAACTCGGAGAGGGTGCTGTCAATGGAGGAAGAGACGAAGAGAGGGGGAGAGGGGAGACGCGTCGAGTGGAGTAGCCACAGAGGTCCTTGCCACGTCCGTTCTTGGAAGACAGATCAGTCCAGCACCGTGTCCAGGACGCTCAGGGACTTCACGATGTCTTCATCCTTTGGCCAACAAGCCAAGGAAAAACAAACGGAGAAAAACAAGAAATGACATGAGTTTAAAAGAAAGTTAGCAGCTACATTTACCATTAAGGGGAGACACTGCCCAGAAAAAAAAATTTCTGCAAAAAAAGTTGATTTTGAAAAATAACATATTTACATCCACCAACATCTAAAGAGTATTTCCAAAAAGTTTAACTAATTTTCACTGCATAGTTAATTTTTTATAAACTATTTTCTGTCCACCAAAGCTAAAGAAAAGGTAGGGTTTGGAGCACTTTGAACGCATTTTTCTCCGTTCCACTTTTTGGTATAAATTGCATTTTAGTCAATCTATTGTTTGATAATGGCAAAACAGGGAAGGCTCATTCTTCCTTTTTCCTGACTGAAATTTAATGAGGAATGCGGCTATGGAACGTTTTTGTCACTTTACGGGTGTCTTTTATAAAAAATGTTGACATTTTGTCGAAGACAGAGAAGACCAAAAAGTTTACCAATTTTGGAGAAGAGAAAATTTATAGAAATAAATTACTTTTTAGAAAAAACGTTCCATAGCCGCACCCTCTCGACATTCTGCTACATATCTAGCAAATAAAAATCCTGAATATTGTGATAGTTTTCTCACGATAGATTAACTAAACAATGCACGCGTGTTGCTGATAGAAGCTACTCTAATTTCCTTCTCATTTAACCGACAGACCTGAAATTTTGTTATACACCCTCTAGCATGACCACCAGCCTACCCTGTAAATTTCATTAATTTTAACACTAGAGTTCAAAAGTTGACCCCCCTAGGGGGTGTGTCCCCTTAAAGTCCTACACCACGTGGAATGGAGTATTTAAGAGCGGTCAATCTGATTCGTTTAACAGACATTCATCGTTACGAGACGTTATGATGTTAAGTTGTGGTGTCAATCAATTGGACAACGTGACGTGACATCACTGCCAGAATACGTCCTGTTACGTGACGCAGCGTCACGTGCCAAGGGGTACGTGAGTGCGTCTGGTAGTAGGAGCTTCCGTTATAGAACGTTCCGTGCCTCAAAACATCGCAATTCCAACCAAAACAAAGCTGACCTCTAAACACCACGAGACTTAACCGAGTTGCGTCAAAAGTTGCAACGCTAGATACTGCGGGAATGCACACCCTTTGAGTACGAGAACCCGTGTGTCATTTAAAAATAAGGAGCTACTCCTCAAAGGTTTTTTTGAAAACGCTGCAACATGTTGTAACAGTAAACCCCACGAAACATAAACTTCTAAAACCACATGATGATTTTTCACATACCCCTTTGCATTCATTCCAACTCATACCAAAAGAGGAAGTGGTCGCGCTTATGTAACAAGAGGGAAGCGGCGTATCGTCTGACTTCTGCTTGAGGCTGTTCTAAGAGTTCGCTTCCAGGCTTCTCGAAGATCGTTATCGATACCTTTGAAGATACTTTTCTGAATCTGCCAGTCTCCTGGTCAATTAGTATGCTGCTGGTGTTGGTCACTACTGATATGTCTATTTGCTACGGTAAGTCTTTACAAATTGAGATTGTTGTTTTCCACCACAATTGCGAGATGGCATTGTGGCAAGGGGGATACGTGGCTTCTACGCACCCGGGTCTGTCCATCTGCTAGAATCTAAGGGCAAATATTTTACAAAGTTTAAAGGACTGTTTACGTAACAAAAATACCACTTACCAATAAACACGTCTCAATGAATTCGTCGTAGGTGACTACACCGTCCTTGTTTAAATCCAACTTCTGCAAAAAAAAAAAAAAAAATGAACGAGAGCACTTTTTAATATGAGAGAGACACATACAAACACACACTGCGAGAAACCTTTCGGCCAGAACTTGTGACCTATACAGATTTTCGCAGTAGACAGTGACCGAGCAGAGTATTTATTATCGCCTCTATAGACCTTTGCAACGCTTATCCACCTGAAGAAAAATGCAGAGTCATTGAGCTGTAAACGCATGCGCAGCGTTCGATATACCGCACAACAGATCAACAGCGCATGCTCAGAAAGCGTTCCACAGCCCTGCAGACCAAGATGGCGGCACGCAGAGACCGATTTTTGCAAAGGTCTCTCGGAATGGTACTTTCTGCACGTATTCATAATTTATTACTTGCTTTTCTTTGGTTGCAAAGCACTTATTTCAGAAACGAAAAAAATCACAGATATTCGATTTTCTCGGTGACAGTCGTAGAATGAATCCATGCTCTACAAGGCATAACGCATCCTTCATTTCGGAATATTCTTCTACTTGTGGGCCAGTTCCAGTAATGAGACGGCTCCGATTATTTTTTTTTTTCTTGCGACATACTAGAAGCAGGTTGCCAGATGTACTTGATGTGTGTTAGCTCTGTTTGTCGTTTGTTGCTCCCTGTGAGGGAATTGCAGAAAAGGGGGGGGGGGAGCCAACGACCATTTTAGTCATCAGGGGACTTTGTTGGACACCCAAACTACACCCTAGGTTCCAAGCAAGACAATGTGGTGCGATAGGTAGCGCCATCTTATGCGAAATTCTCATAACTCTGAGACGGCCCGCGGCCGCAGTAATGGGAAACGATCTCGAGCTGGAACGTCTGCGTGACTGGCCAAACTGTGAGGCAGGGCTCGTGCTCGACGGCATGACCTGCCTAAAGCTGCCCTTTTTGACCGTCAGCCGCGGTGACTATAGCAGCCGACCGAGATGGATACAACATGCGCATTACATGTGCGGAGGGAAATAAAACAAACGCCAGAGCATGTAGTTAGGGAATACAGAAGGTCTCGGCCGCCCAAGGGCATTAGGCAAAGAGGCTGAATATACTCATGGCCCTGGGAGTCAAACGAAGACTGTGAAACGAGACAATTTCCAGAAGAGCGATTTAAGAGACGATTAGAGGAATGGTGGTTACATTCGAGGGAGGGATAGAGATTAAATTTGACTACATAATTTAATAAATAGCTCTACGAACACTATTTGGCAAGGTGGGGCAAGCTACCGCCTGTTTCGAAGGGAGCAGCCGCCATGCATCCACCCATCTACTCATCGAGGCGCCTTAAAGGCCGACTTACGAAACCATTTTCCGCAGGGTAGGAAAGTGCTCCCCAACGACCTTCGCTCCCTCCCCTCTCGCACTCCTTCTTCCTCCTCCCCTGAAAAGGGCGGCTCCGGAAGCTAGTCTCCGTGGAAAGGAGAAGGGGTTTCCTCCTTTCTGGGTGGCAAGGGGGAAACCTCTTCTCCCGCGGAAAATGGTTTTGTAGGTCGGCCTTTAACTAGAAGACAAGGCCCGCGCCTTTCTCGCCCCCAAAGGTCATCACTTGCGAACCCACACCGAGTCACCTACAGCCTGCATGAGCACCGCCGCCGGCGGATCTCGCAGCGTCTCAAAAGGAGTGCGACGCTAGCGCTCGACGACGCCCAAACATACGCGTCGAGCAGCTTCAGCGTGCTTTGGAACGGGGATCCACCAACGATGACATCATGAGCGATCCCCGGGGGGCCCTACCTGGAAGACCCTGGCGGCGTGCTCCCTGGCCGACCGCTCGTCCGCCATGGGCGCCGAGTAGTGGCCCAGCAGGCTGTAGACGGACGAGATGATCTCGAACATCTCCTCCTTGGTGACCGCGCCGTCCTTGTTGATGTCGTACAGGTTGAAGGCCCACTGGAGCTTCTCCCGCGACGAGCCCCGAGACAGCACCGACAGGCCCATCACGAACTCCTGCACACCCAGGGACCGATGTAGTACAGGGTGCGGCACGTAAGGACACACACGTTTGTCACAGCTCACAGCTCACACCTGTTGTGGGCAAACGCTGACTTGTTTGTAGACATTGTGCCGCTCTATAGAAGACAACGTCTAGGAAGACCGCACGCTCAAAATCTTATACGGAGAGCAACTGAAGGAGAGGGAGGAGACGAGAGCGTGCGTTGATGTCGCAGCACCGAGCTCTGATTGGAAGGATCGGTGGGTAGATGCGAAGGCTCGAGGAAGCCCGGAGCGTCTGTTTTCTCCGCAAAGCTCTTGGGAGAGCCAGTTGCTGCAATCGGAGGGAGGAGCTTGGCGAATGGCGACGCTGAAGATATATCTTTAGACCGAAGACTAAAAGCTCGTGCTCAGCGCCACAACGTGTTTCCTTCTAGGTATAAACGTACGTCCCCTCCGTACATTACAGCAACTAACTATTCCAAGTCATTTATAAAAAAAAAAAAAAAAATGTGGGCTGCTGTAATTTTTATTTTGTTTTAGAATGCGTTGAACCGAACCGTAAACGCAATTCATCTGCTTAGGGACAATGCGTGATATGTTTTGTTTGCTCCTTGTCCCAACGCAGATAGAGCTCTTTTTTTTTAGCAAAATCGTACTTCGTGGTTAGCTTTTTTTTTTTTCTCCGAAGGTGTTCTGTAAGTGGCAATAAATCTTACACTACGCTCATTAAAAAAAAAAAAATCTTTTTTTTTTTTTAATTTTTGCGTTTTAAGAAAGTGTTCTGCACATCGGCACGCTCGCAGAGTACTCGAAGAGCCAATCGATGTGGTGTAATGATAACAATACTAATAAGAATTGTGTATTTTTCATCGAGTTCTCGGGGTCTTGTCTGATACGCTGTCAATTCTGGCACGTCATTATCGGAGGCGGAGCGATGGGTTTCTTGGGTATTTCGCCGAAAAGCTAAATAAACAGTTCTTTACAAAGTAATAATGGAATCATCGCAGAAAAGGGGAGGAGAAAGGGAGGGGGGGGGGGGGGGGGCAAACAAAATCAAAGAACAGATAATCTTCAAACGATATGAACAGAATCTAGAAGAACCAAAGGAGGATGTGAACTGATAGTAGCGCTTATTTCTCGCGACAAACAAAGGGCGTAATGGGGTCATTATTATATCGTCCTTCCGAAGTAATGGGGTCATTATTCCATAGTCATTTCGAGGGTTTTAAAGAGGAAATAGCGGAAATATGCAGATGAATGAACCACACCGATGAAATGGGAGTCAAGTTTAGAAAGCCTTCGGAAGACAAAAGTTTCGTGGAGCCGAAATGCGTACTTTGAAATTGATGGTCCCAGCTCTGTCTTTATCCAGCGCCTTGAAAACGTAGTGCGCGTATTGAGTTGTGTCTGAAAGAAAGAAAAGAAAACAAAGCTTTCAGCCTTTCCACTCTGGTGAAGAAGGAAGACCAGCGGAGGTGTACAATGGAAAGTAATAGCCGACCGCAAATAGGCAAGCCAGAGTGGAAAGGCTGCCGCCATCTATGAGCGACGGCGGGAACCAGATAACTGGCTTGCCGCCGTCGCTCATAGATGGCGGTAGGTGTCCAGAGTTCGGTGTCCTCAGTTCTTTGCGGGGCACACGATCTTGAGGAAACTAGCCCTTAACAGCTCGGCTGTAAAACAAGATAATACCAATTGAGGACCCTAATTGAACGCTGCATATTCTCTAAAAGCTATTTGAAGACGAACGTACCACTCTGAATTAACTGCTAAAGTCACGACATTTAGTAATGCTTTTTCATTACGAATTTTAGTAGGACTAAAAGCCTGGTGTTTACTGAAAATGATATTTGAAGTTGTATTTCCCTATGTGCGAGTGGTAGTAATAAGAAACAGCAAAATCCTTTAGCACAAACATAAGTTGCTCCTCAGCCGCAGTAGAATGCATATATCTTTCTTCAATCTGATTGAGCGTAGTTATATCAAGCTATGGTAATTATTTAACAAAAAGTAGTAAAAAAAAATGCAAACGTTATTTTGTTTTCGGGGAAAATAATAACGCATTAAATATTAAAAGAATATATGACTCATTCTGGTTAAAAAGCACATTACGGAGAATGGGTGCATGAAAATAAGAAACGGACTCAATACTTTCAATAATAAGTAAAAATTTAACACGGCGACCTTAACGAAGTTAATTAGAAAAGAAGGCACAAATACAAACTAACCAAACAGCAAGCACTGGGACATGCACACAAAAAGAAGATTACTTACCTGCAAGTGGAAAAAATTGGCAGTACATGTCTTTGAAGGTGTTTTCATTGACGATACCTGACGGGCATGACTGTAAAAAAACATAGAAAGCAGAACGTTGCAGCCGACTGAACCAACGTAATGATGATTTCTGTTTGGTGCCTGAAAGTTCAGTAAACGCAATACAGTTTGCACCGAACTCTCCTCTCCGTCTGCGTCAGGGCAAACACAACAAGTGTATTAAAAAAAAATGAAAGTCTTTATATTTTTGCAACGCAGTAAGCTAAGAAAGTTGCTACGATATAATTATGTATAATAAAATTATTCTCGCCCCTAAATTAAGTTTACAATTCGTCTGATCAACGTCTAACAGAATATATTACAATACGTCTAATAAATACAGTAGCTCGACTAAGGAAGAAACGACAGATTCACGTAAAATTCGACTTCAAGATATATTCAGGGGCCAGCTGGGGATTACCTGTTTGAAGCCCTGATAAATCCTTTTGATTTCGTCCTTGTTGAACTTTGTGGACTTGCAGAGGGCGCTGATGGTTTCTGGCTTGCAGCGGGGGACGGTGATTTCAAGGTCATCGATCGCTTTCTCTGCAACGAGACCAGACAAAGGAACGAGGAAAGTTACGTACCACCCTTCAGAATAACCTGTTTTAGCCCACGAGATGTTGGGGCATCATCATCGTTATCGTCACCGTCGCCGGGCAACCCTGGCAAACCCGGGAAGGAGTCAGGCGGGACTCCCTCGCGCCCTGGCTCCGTCCCAAAGTCTCAATCCTGTTCCCCAGTGGGTCCGGTGTTGGGGTGATGCCGACAAGGTTTGACCAGATGAAAATTGGGGACTCTTTCGCCGGGAGAAAGGAGCAAAAATGATGTTCTAAGTATTTTTTTTTTGCTCGATTTTCCAAAGGTCATCTTGGTGCTCACCACCACACCCTAGTGATAATTACAGAAATGCTTCGGCTTAAAGGGGTTTTGAAACTATTTTTCTACTTTCGATAAATACTACTTAGAATCACTCCCTAACGTTAATAACAGAATAAACTTGCCTTAGTTTTTTCTTTCTAGGCAATGGCAGTCGCCCCAAAAATTAGAGAAATATGAGCATCGTTCATCCCCTCAACTCGGAACGGAAACAAGCGGCCACGTGACCCGGTGCCTATCCTATAGGGAGTATTCACTGGCGGCCATAGCTGTGTGCGCGAATGCTGAGCGCGTTCTGATGGCGAGCTTCCACGGTTCTTTTGCAACGTGCATTCCGCACCATCAAGAATGCCGGTCTTTGCAGCCTATTGATGCGAGCTCGTTCTGAGCATGCGCTCTAAACAGCACCCACAAATATGCGTCCAGTGAATACTCTCTATACACCTTTGCAAGTGGGATCCCGGCTTAACCTCGAACCGCGCGCCAAGGTGAGGCGGACCTACTCTCCAGCCAGGACGTTCGCTGGTTGTAGTACAATGTTGCCGAGCGTCTCTCGTTGAAGCGCACACCACTGAGCGCAGACAAAAATTAAAAAAAATTATCTATAAAACGTACACGTGTCGTCTTCAACCGCGAAAGAGCACGGATAATTAGATAAAATGCCTAAACCGGTAACAAATCGAAAAATCTCAAAAAGATCTAAAGTCTTAAGGCGCTGTTTAGAATCTGCCACAAGTCGCATGGCCTTTGCATCAACGATGGCTGCGCTCGAGGCAGCTCTGGCTTCCACAACATGCAGGAACAGAGGCTGCGATCGTTATAGAGTCAGCTCCAACCCTTAAAGATGCCCCGTCCTACAATATGTGATGCTACGATTCTGTGTGGATACCTCCTCCTGCGTTCCGAGACAGTAAGTGTGCCGCTAACGCTAGCTATCGGCGATGCAGCAAACGGCACCATCTTGTTATCGCGCACCCCAGTGACGTGCCCCTGGCGCACCCCAGCATGGCGGAAACGGTACGGGGCGCCAGCATCGCTCAAAATGGCAGCGCACAGGAGCCTTTCTTGCAAACGTGTATATGCCGCCGACGTTAATCATAGCCATGCGCTTGGGGTTGGTAAAGTATAAAACGCGTGCTGTGCTCCAGGCATTGTTAGAGTTCGGCTATTCTCATGACCGCAGTGGTTGGCCACGAACCACTACCCGAGTGTCTGCCGAGGCATCGATAGTCACGAGTCAAAGTCGAGTGCTCACGCAGTTCTCGTGTCCAATCCAGGGTGTAAAATAGACAGGTGGGGAAACGAGAGCCAAATGGGCGACCGGATTGTGTCCCCCTCGGCTTTCTCTTTTTCTGTGGCGCCATCTATGTGGAGCACCGCGAACTCTCACTCCGGGTGGGCGACCGGTGGCGACATTCTAAACTGACGGAGATGGTTTCTCGTGGATTTTTAATGAAGAACTGTCGTGCTCTCGGTTTATTTTGCGCACTCTCCCATAGAGTTCCACGCAAATCCGATTCCGATTTGTTTTCCTCTTGCCGCAGCGCCATCTGTCGCAAGTCGGGGGTACCCGCAAGCAGACGAGTACACAATCCGGTCACGGCGCTGCGGTAGGCTTCTATGGGCCGTTTCCCCACCTGTCTATCTTACAGCCTGGTCCAATCCATGAGCCGCGCTCAACGGTCGTCAGGCGGGTGGCTACGATGCCACAATCACGTCATCAAGCTTTGCGAAGGCAAGACTGAAACAAATCGTTCCTTTTTATCCTCGCAAGTTCACCGCGACCAAGAAGCTTCGGTATCAGTGGCGGTCTGTGCGAGTGTACTTGGGCCAGAATAGGACCAGTATACCTCTGCACAGTCATAAACATTCCAACCCGATATCGTTTCATGACCCCTTTAAGAGGGAAATAATTATGTGGTTTTCGAAGTTTTTAGGCTATAGGTGGCGCAATCTACCGCCCGTTATGAAGGGTACCGCCGTAAACATCCATCTAACTATCACTGCCTCTCCCGAGCGTGGACCCTCTCCACGAGATCAGCGACTCGGTGCTTTGACCGCGTCTCCGAGTGGTGTGTTTAGCGTCCTATGCGAAGATCAAGTCGTCTGCTTCTTCTGTAGAACATCAGAACGACGGCGAGCTTTTATTGGCTTTGATTAAAAGGATAGTGGGCATGCCCTGAGGTCTACCCACTATTTTTTTTAATCAGCCAATAAGAGCTCGGCGTTCTGACATCATCGTGACCCCTGTGCATGAAGCAGACGAACTTGCGCTCCGGATTCCGCCCATGACTTGAAAGTGGGCCCAAAGATGCAACAAATAACGTCGCGAAACTCGGAGTGTCATGCTATCGGATTTCGCGATCATAGAGATTGGGCGTAACAGTTCTAAAAAAAAAAAAATATTAAAAAGGTACGAAGGAATTCGAGTTTCGCTGCTGTCGCGGCGTCCCAACTCCTGGCTACCGAAGCTTCCGTGTACTCTCCAGCTGGAGAGAAACGTGCAGCAGAACAGGCGTCTTCCAGATTCACCCCCACTACTGCGACACTGCAGGGATCGCGACCGGCGACAACGTGACACCTTCTATGACGTCGTCAGGCAGAAACCGTGGTTGCCACTTTTTAGAACGCGGTAAGCAGACCAGTCGGACACGCGTTTCAGGCACCATAGGCCTTCTGCAGTCCCCAGGGGGCACTACGAAAAGCGACTTGTTATTACACCGTTCACTCTTAACCTGAGACTGCAGCCAATGCTACAAGCGCGAGAGCACGGGGTCGATGCTTTGAAACGATCTTCCGCGGAACAAGCGCTCGCGCTAGAAACGCACGTCTCAATGCCAAGAGCGAAACTGGAGCGCAGCTCTTGAGGAGGAGGGGGAAGGGAGGGTACGGAGGGGAGGGTATGCCTTCCTCCTCCTCTGTACCCTTCCCTCCTCCTCTTCCTCCTCCTTTCCAGCTCCTCTGCTCCTGCCACTGAATTTGTTCATGGGTGACGTGACACAAAGTCGTGACATAATTTCTCCCGCTAAATTTGGCGGGGAAACTGAATTCATGTTGAGGTCTCGTGACGTCAATTTCCCATCTAAATTTAGCGCGGAAACTTAACCCGCTAAATTTATCAGGTTAAGTTTCCCCGCTAAATTTAACGGTAGAACTGTCCTTACATGGCCTCCAACACGAATTCAGTTTCCCCGCTAAATTTAGCGAGGAAACTGTGACGTCCCATTATGCAACGCGCGCAGTTACGCCGGCGCCGACGCCGCTCAACCCGAAAACGGGCGCTTAAGAACTGCCCTCTTAAATGAAAGACGTTTACAGGTCCCTGTAATGCGAAAGTAGAGCTCAGCTCTTGAGGAGGAAAAGGGGACGGTACGGAGGGGAGGGTATGCCCTCCTCCTCCCCTCCTACTCCTCCTTCTCCTGCGTACCCTCCAATCTTCCTCCTACGTACCCTCCCCTTCTCCCCTTCCATACCCTCCCCACTTCCCAAAGTTTCCCGCTAAATTTAGCTGAAAATTTGACGCCACCTGACCTCAACACCAATCAGTTTCCCCGCTAAAGTTAGCGGGGAAAATGACGTCACATGACTTGGTCTCACGTCACCTATGGACAAATTGAATTCCTCGCTAAATTTAGCGGGGAATTGAATTGGTGTTGAGGTCATGTGACATCCATTTCCCGCAAAATCTAGCAGAGAAGCTGAATCTCCCCGCTAAATCTAGCGGAGAAACTGAATTTGTTCACAAAATCTAGCGGAGAAACTGAATTTTTCCGCTAAATTTAGCGGGGAATCGAAATGGCGTTGAGGTCACGTGACGTGAATTTTCCTCCTAAATTTAGCGCGGTTACGCCGGCGCCGGCGCCGATGCCGACACCGCGAAACTCGGAAACGGGCGTCTAAGAGCTGCGCTCTAAAAATAGTGGGTACACCTCAAGGCATCTAGCATTGAGGTGTACCCACTATCCTTTTAATCAAAGCCAATCACAGATCGGCGTCGTTCTGACGTCACCACAACTCCTGCGCAAGAAGCTGACGGCTCGCTTGCCGCATATAGGACTTGTTTTGGGTAGTACTAGGGTCACTGTATGTTGCCTTAGTATCGCATTCGATAGCGTCCGCAGTTACCAACGTTACTAAAACGCTCCGTTGAGAACCTCAACCTTGAAACCCGGATTGCTCCCGTCCACCGAGGTCAAACTAAATACGATGACAACGTCACCATTTAGCTACTGGTCAAAACATGAAGGATCATTTATATTGCTACTGCGAAATGGCACTGCGAGATGGCGCCACCGGCAGCTGCGCGACTCGACCTGAACCGGTACGTACAGACGTGCAGTTCCCGGTGCGGCCGCTGCGGGAAAAATGCAGGCGTTGCGATCGCCATTAGTTCGGTTCTCGGGTACGGATCAAAGCCACTTTTTCAGGGCAATCTCTATGGCAGTTTCCCAACTGAGTGGTTCTAGTGACGCGGGCCGTTACTGTTTCATTTCAGATTTGACCATTCAGGCTGTGTTCCAAAATTTATTCGATCCGACACCGGAGTATTGCTTCTTAACCCTGGCGCTTCGAAACTCACTCGCGCTTACTCGATGACGTCAGAAGTCGCGTTCCAGAAGCGGTTTGTTTACTCCGGAGTAATTCCTCACGCTGCCCTCCTCGATCGG